AATCTCATCAACCTTGATTTGGATGGACGGTGCCTTTAAGGGTAAAGTTTATCCTTAGGGTTCTTTGGCTGTATTTATCAAAGGTAGGGAGGGTAGGGATTTGTCCTTGTGATAAAATCCATGAGGTTAAGCGCACCCTGTGCTTCGTTGATACCGGTTAATCGCTTTCTGTGGTAAATCTTACCTTCAGGGTATCATTTACTCTTTAAGTTTGCTGATGTACACGGCCGCTGTTGTGTGCTCTCGAGAGAGGGTGGTATCAAGTTAGCAAGCAACCGGTTTTAAGATAGATTTGATTACTCGCTAACAGCAGTCAAATCGTTTCCTTCGAAAACTTGCACTTTGAAGTTCAAAGTTGTCAGCTGTCTGATCAATTCTCTGCAACAGAATCTTTCGCTCGTTTAGGTCGCCGCTGTTCCACGATTTTGTTCGGCAGTGTCTCACGAAAAATCCAAAGAAGCGACCATCTCCTGACAAACTTCTAGCAGTAAGTATTTTTCTTTAGCTTCTCAGTGCAGTAACTGTCAAAAGTCTGCGAAAGCTGTGTAAAGCACAGCTTTTGCACTTCTGCAACTTTTCTAAAAAAGTTTCTTGACCTGGAAGTGCACAATGTGCATTCTGCAAGCATTTTTTCTCTGGATTCTGCTGCTTTGACATGTTGGCGTTAAGTTTTGCATCGAAGTTTTCCTAGGCCAACCTGTTGTTCGATACTTTTTGTGCATTACACACAACTCATTTTCTTGCAGACCCATCACTTCGTTCTCGGTTCTTTGAGTTCGAGAATGACGAGAGATCTCCTAGATAAGGTAGTTATTTTTCAAAGCCAATGGAATTTGTTTTTGTACCGTTTGAATCTAGGTAAATAACGGCTCTTCTGCTCGGCTTCTTCATCGGGAAAGTCAAGAGGAAGACGACAAGGACAGTGGGGAAGAAGAAGAGGTATGGGTGACATTTTTTGTATCAGCGTTCACTTTATAAAATCTTGGAAATTAGTTTTGAAAATTTAGCAAGTGTTGATCATTTGATAAGTTGTGCCGTACTACGCACTCCTCTTATCTAAAAATTTTGTAAAAGTTCATCTTCAATGTAATGTACCAGTCATTTTCTTTAAAGATTTTGAAGCATTTAAAGAAAACATATGATAGCTTTGCACTCTTGGAGCAGACATAAACGTCGAAACAGTTGCCAGGCTTGCACACATCTTTCGCCTGGCGAAGGCACTGTAAAAGTGCTTTATGGATTTGTCTGAAATTGGGTTCAAAAAAAGGATGCTGCATAGCCGACACGAGTTATGTTATAAAAATGCGTGATTATATCAGTGTCAAAGGCTGGGGCCTGGGAAAATCGCAACTGTTGGCTTTCAACATCTACATGGCCTTCTGGACCAGCTGAGTCCGATGCTG